ATGCCACGAAGAATTGAGGCAGTTCTGAAGGCAAAAGGGGGTCCAACCCGTTACTAGCGTGGTGTACCTAATAAAGTGGCCGGTGAGTGTAATATATAATACAATATAAACGTTTAATATAATAAACTTTACTTTTTTCATGCAGTAAGGCAAAACTGAAAGCTTTTCTAAATGTGAAAAGTTCTGGTTAAATTATTTAAATTTATTCAACAAAACTGCGCTTTTCTTAAATGAGTTTCATTTTTCTTGTTCAAACCCTACATGAGTTCAAGGGCTCAGGCTGTTAAAATTGAGTTTTGAGTTTCTGACAGCMGCATACACATGAAGATAAATGTCATTTTAGATGTCAAAATCCAAATTATAATGGAGAGATGATTAATGTCAATGTACAGTGACATGGAAAACTGCTTTTTTAATCATTTGTACACTCAAATATTTTCAAATAGTCCATCGGAGTATAATTACAAACTTTTGAATGAGCATGATTACAACTCTTCATGCTCCTTTTGATTGACAMTTTTGATGTTTTTTTTATTATTTTGACATTTTTTGGCAATTGTTTGTGTATGTTTCCGTCTGCCAAGTTTAGAGTACTCCAGACTTGGATGCATTTTTGGTCAAGTTTGTGGTTCTCAATTCAAAATTCAATATCTGCCAGAGACATCCAATCTGGAACTCATTTGTGAGCAGTCAATCCACCCCCATCCAAAAAGAAAAGATTTTAAAAGATTTATTTGGTGAAAATATGTGTCTAAATATTTTGTTTCAGACTCTGTCCTTTATGTGTTTGTAAAAGTCACATAAATGTTTGAAGCATGATTTTATAATGTTGAAGTATCAGAGTTGTCTTAAAAGTGTAGAGGGTTAGCTTATGGTGAAATAAGCCTTTCTACATATCTCTCATAACAAGGTTATGAGGAAAGTTTTACCAAGGTATTTTCTCATTACTTTAATATCTTGACTGTGCGAAGTGAGAAATGACACAATAAGGGAACGTTCAGACGAGTTCAAGTTGATTCACAAAAGACTATGCAATCATTTATTTACACAAATTGAACAGATCATAAGTACACCTGATTGTGGTTTTCCTATAACAAGCTTCAAAGTTAAATGAGATAAAACTCGTGTCCGAATTTTAATTCACATTAAACTCAGATTACTTATATATAGAACAGTAAATGTCAGTTCTGATGTTAACAACCAAACAATTTACTGGCACTCTTTAGCTTAAGTTTTGGCAAATAAAGAAAAGAGGAAAGGATGAAAAAAAGATTAGTGTTCTACTACTCTTATTTTGTTAAGTGTGTTACAACCGGATCAGCACGTCTTCTCTGTGCTCAGATTTCCACGTGGCACGTCACCCGGAACACGACAGCGTTACCTGTTGCTGGCTTCTTAACCAAACCCTGGGTAGACACTGTCTCACCTCCAATCAGTCAGGGAACGTTTTGATCGGCCGGCTCACTGTTCCTCGGCGAAAAGTGTTATTTTAGGCAACTTTTCGTCTGCTTCGATCTTCGCCAGAAAGATTCAAGCTGATGCATCCGGTTCCTCCTTTCAAAATAAAATCTCCCCGCGGGAGTTGAAAYCACTTAGAGACTTGTAGCCTCAGGTGGGACAGTCAGCGACTTGCCTCTGRCCTGGCCGTTAGATCTCCCTAATTGGCTTATGGGCAAGACCTAACGGGCCAAGCTGGCTTCTCCTGGGAGAAAACCCAGCGTTACTTCCCAGTTCGGCATCCAGGAAGAAGTGTTCCCTCACTCAAAGACGTCCGTGTTAGTAATAGAAGAGGACGACTTTGGTTCCGCCCTCAGGCATTAAGAATGAGTCAGAGAAAAGAAGAAAGATAAGAGCTTTGCCAGCCAGGCGCCAGCCAAGGTTAAATTCTGTGGTTGTTTTAACAGAATATGATAACATTTCTTTTCAACTTTTCTTCTGGTAGACTCTAAGAGAAATCACTGTAAAGCATTTATGATGATTAATTAACATTTCTGTTTAAGTAATCAGTCTGAACCATTCTGTTAGTCCAGATAAATGAAAGATTTTCTCAAGAAAAACMCACAATTATATTACTGATGTTTCCAGTAAAGTAAAAACAGTGATTTATGTAAAAACACAATGAAAACATGGTAATGATTTTCTCTGTGATTTTTTTATACCATTAATCAATCTTTTAGGCAAGATAAAAGAGTAGAAGTGATTCCACTTTCTTTGTGACAGTCCTTATATGATTTAACAAATGCATAAACATTCTTAGTTAAACAACAAATGAATCARGAACAGAAAAGATTGTTCTGTCCATTAACTGATTAAGAGAGCTGAGAAATTCTCTTCTAGGTTGAAATGACCTYTCATGGCCTAAATAGAGTTCAGTTTGTGACAGAGTTCCTGCCTTCTCATCAGGCCTGTCCGAGGCCTGCTTCGAGGCAGTAAATCTTGTTTCTTCACTCGAGGTGACCCCTACAAAAGTAAAGAGATGTCGAATGAACCCCTCTTTCACTTTATCAAGATAAAACTATTTACACTTGTGGAAAAGGACAGCAGCTTCACATGTGGCTTTAAAGAGACCTCTGACTACAGACAAAGACATTTTGGCCAGTTTCTGTCTGTTAATTTTTAAAAGAAAAGCAGCTCTTTTAAGTGACTGACAGTCACAGATTCGAAGCAAATATTGTGAGGAATGTGGGGCTTTCATAAGCTTTAACTGTTTACCTCCTGAGGTTTTCTTAACTGAAAACGGCAGCAGTTTCCAGCTGATCAATTTTACATGTTGRAAAAGAGGCTTGGGTTTTATTGTGGATTGGATGTGTTTGAAAATTAGACTTTAGATGCAGCTTTTATTTAAATTCTGTTTAAAGACGGATCTAAATGTGCACTTATTGGAAGTGGAATTTGATATTGCTTTAAAAATATTTTGTAAACTTTTTAAACTACTGTCAGTCTTGCATTACATGATTATTTTAGCATAAATACATTATGTTCCAGTTGGGATTGCCCCAGGCTGCACTGGAAGTACTACAGTTAGCCGCCCCAGCTGATTGAATACCACTTGATTTTGGCACTATGCGAACTAGCTGTTAGCTTATCAGTCCTGTCAGAATGACATTTTCTTTAGACTGAAGATCTGAACTGGGGATGCTTGTGTTTTTCTGTATTGACACATAATTTCAGTTTCATTTTTTATTTTATTTTATTTATTTTTTTTTTTAGTTTTAATTTACTGTACTTTACTGTCTCAGGTGTACTGAATTATTGTATTTCTTTTGTGGGGGGGATCTTAAGGTGAAGGGGCACCTTTACTTATTTGATTTTTAATTTATTTTCGTTCCTTTGGACATGGGCAGGCGCGTYTAGTCTTTTCCGTGCTTCTCTCATTGGGAGCACATACACGAGTCAGCCGCAAAAACGGTATAAACAGTTTATTTAAATAAAACAAGCGCAACCTCAGCCGAGCAATTGTTTCTGCCCCTCCTTGATCACGGAGCAGGCATGCCACCAATTCTTAGTCTGCTCAGCACACCAAAGCACAGTATGGATCTGAAATATACACACATCATCAGCAGTGTTAATGTATAACAGATGTAGGAGGAGAAGAAAATCTACAGTGGCCACATTAAACACATCCTCTGAAGAATGTCTCCCCCTGTCCTCTGATCACAAAAATAAGGGTGGACCACTACTTTGGGACACAAGATCTGTTTTTGGCAGTTTTTGTCGGCTGCATATTTTTCTGAAATGGTGCTTTTGTGTGTCTCCAAGCTGCAAATTCCCAAAACACTGGCTGAACTATTTTCAATGTTTATTTTTTCATGTGGTCAATTTCAAATTGTCTCACAGCTGAAAAATGGGCTGAAAGAAATTACTCTTAATTAAATCTCAAATCGAGCTGAATTTTATACACCAAACTGTACAAACAGATGAAGCTGGGTGACTTAATGGAAATTAATTTAAAGAGAATTTATCAGAGTTCAACTGAAGCAGGAGATGAGGAGTATGTGTCCCTAATGTTCTATTGGTTGTTTTGATTGGAGGATACTTGAGTTTCTTCTAGTTCCTCAGTAATCCCCTCCACCACTCACTCTTGTCTCATTTCTTCTCCTTCCAGGGACATTAAGCCCGACAACATTCTGCTGGATATGAATGGCCACATCCGCCTGGCTGACTTTGGCTCCTGCCTTAAACTCATGGAGGATGGGACTGTAAGTTTTCACCGCACTTCTGCTGCTGCTGCTCTCTTTGGTCCAAAGCAAACAATTCCAGAGTTTTACTAACCTTTTTGTCCACCCCTGGGGGTCCCCCAGGAGGAGTGTGTGGTTCAGCTGCTCGGCTGTGGCTGCAGCTGATGATTCAGACAGTTCTCCAGATGTTAGAAAAAGATTATAAAGAAATAACAGGGTGAAATATGAAAATCAAAGCTCTCAAATGCTAATGATTTGGTTTTGTCATTTATAAACATTAAATAATGTCAAAGTTGATTTCAGAAATCAACTTTTGAACTTCCAGAACCCAACAACAGAGGATTATGGATGCGAATTCCAGTGTCTGTTCTTCTCTTCATCTGTTTAATTTTCTGGCACTTACTCAGGAGAGTAATGTCAAAAATGTATATTCTATGGAATGAAACTGAATTTATAACAAAATTTGTAATTCATGATTAAGCTTTAAATCTGCCTTTTTGAAACATCTTGAAAGAAATTGAAACAGAGACCAAGAAAATGAGGTTGACAAGGAGAATTTATCCTCTATTGGAGGTTTGAAATGTCAGCGGGTCCTCTGTGGTGATATTAATTTAATGTGTGTGTTTCCAGGATTTCAGTCTGGAATTCCTCATCACTACCTTTTTAAGTAGCAACATGCAGCTGAATTTACACACTGTGAAAATGAGAAAATCGTTTCTTTGTGGGTTCATTAGTGGCGTTTTTGTGTTCTACTGCCAGGTCCAGTCCTCAGTGGCAGTGGGAACTCCTGACTACATCTCCCCTGAAATCCTGCAGGCCATGGAAGATGGGAAAGGCAAGTATGGGCCTGAGTGTGACTGGTGGTCCCTGGGCGTCTGTATGTATGAAATGCTGTATGGAGAGACTCCCTTCTATGCAGAGTCCTTGGTGGAAACTTATGGGAAGATCATGAACCACAAGGTGAGCTGATGAAATGTGAGGATGTAGCTTTATACAACCAGCAGAAGTGGATTCCACCTCAAATCTCCACTATGATTCACTTCACACAGGAGCGATTCCAGTTCCCACAGCAGATAACAGATGTGACAGAGGAAGCCAAAGATCTGATTCGCCGGCTCATTTGCAGTCGGGAGCACAGATTGGGCCAAAACGGCATTGAGGACTTCAAGCAGCACCCGTTTTTTGCTGGTATAGGCCAAAGTCTTTCCTCTGTGTTTGTTTCTCAGATCTTAGTTTGATTTCTAGAATAAATGTTTACTGTATTTAAGAACTTTATCTACTATTTTATGACTCACAGTTTTGCACTTGTTTTATATATATATATATATAT